CCCACTTTAATGAACGATACTTAGGTCCTCACTAGTAATGTGGACCAATAATAAATTGACATATCATTTTTAATTACTAAATTTAATATGGTGGGTAAATCCACTTACCAAATCACAGAATAGTAATTTATTATTGGTCCACATTATTAGTGAGGATGATGTAGATCCTCACTAATAAGGACTTAAGTATTGCTCCACTTTAATTGTCCTGTTTTAGGAATCGTGACGTGAGCATTAAATATTAAAAGATCATTTTTAGTATTCAAATATTAAATATCACCTTCAAATAATCCACACAAGCTAATCTTTTTTTATTTTTTAGTGTTTACTAAAATATTACTTACACAATATGTCACATTTTTCTTTCACTAAAACAAAGCAAAAAAAAAAAAATGTCACAATAAAATTATACTTGTTCTTTCATTCTTGAGAGTCATTTCCGTCAATTAATAAGAAATTATAAAGATAATTTAATGATTTTGATCAATTTAAAAGTCAAAAGGTAAATAAGTATTTTTATTATTATTGAGATGTCTTTATTCATTTTACTAAATTATAATGTCGTTGCCCAAAAAATACTTAAATTATAAAAAACTGTCTTTAATCCAAACCCGGGTTATCCTCGATGTATAAATCACTCCATCTCAATTACTATTTGGGCAGGGGACTTTCAATTCAAACCCACTAAAATGGGGCTCGTCTCGGATAAGCCGATTGAATATTGAATATGGGTTAGCTATATCCGTTGTTTATATGCCGTCATCAGAGGATTGAAAAGACTGATAGGCCCCCCTCACACCCAACGTCCCCAAATTTGAGGACTTCTCACCACCACCGTTAGCGGTGGTGGGCCGGCGGCTGTTAAGCAACACCAACCAAACTCTTCACTATCCTGCTTCCCTTTTCACATTCTCAAAGTCATTATGTATACGTATGTAGGTGTATATACACACACGTAGGCGAAGCTAATTACAGAGAGAAACATACATATAAAGACCGCTTATGAGAGCCATAACTCATAGCTTACTGGTTTATCTGTATCCACCAACCATTGGAAGGTACTGTGATTTTCTTCAATTTGTTTTATGAATACCTTTTTCAAAGGTCGTATGGTAACTGGGGAGTCAATTCAATTACATTGTTATTTGATAAAATTTGCTGCTCAATTTCTTGATCTGTTCACGTGGCGTCAAATGTTCATTTCAATTTCTCTCTTTGATTCACTGTGTTGCGTATACTTTTGATATTGTACTAACCCTAGAAAAATTAAAACTTCTGTACATCGTTTGTTAACGACCCTGAAGGGATTTGATGGTGGCCTCAGAATCAAACATCGTCAAGATGGGTCTTGTTGAATAGATAAGTGGTTTGAGGTCTCGTGACGAGGAATTTGGGGAATTAGTGAAAGAGTTTGAAACCAGATATATATATATATAAGGGCATTCGGGGTGGGGGGAGAGGTGATTTTCGATTTTTGATATTATATTTTGTTATGAAAAAAAGGATCGAATAGGAGTTTTGAAAATAAAAGAAAAAATTAATGACAAGAAAGTTAAAAAAAAAAAAGGCACACACACAAACGATACAAGAATTTACGTAGTTCGGCTATACCTACATTTACGGGGAGAAGACAAAATAATATTTCACTATAGAAATAAAGAAATATAAGGCAAAGTGGCTCACACTCAAAATCCCATTACACCCAAACTCTTTCACCCACTAATTGATATTACAAACTCACTCAATTGATTTGGGATGCTTCAACACCATAGAGGGCAAGACTATTTATAGCCAAAATGAGACACCAAAATGAGGCTACTTAGTGATCACTCAAAAGACTTGCTAGGCACACATTCTTGGAGGCCAAGAATAAAGCTTGATGAACACATATACTTGGAGGTCAAGAAGATGATGTCATGGGTAATGTAAGCCTCAAATTGAGCCACATGTTCAACAAATCTCCACATTGGCAAAAATTCAAATGAGCAACTGTATCTCTGTAAAACAAACTGTCTTCTCCGCAAAACAAATTAATTAAAAATTTTAGTTAAGTTGAGTCATCCTCAAACTTAACCCTCGGGGTCCCATTCTTCAACCCATGCATGTCTTGCGCAGCCACAAACATACCTCCAGTATTTTTGTCAAACTCTAAATGCTTATCAAAGACACCCTTAGAAATTCCAAGTTTGACATCTCCTCTAGCAACCTTCTCCAACTGCCCACAAACCACCGGTTGGTAATGAAAAGTCATCTTCTCACCCTTGTAAAGAATAGGACGTCTTTGACTTTTCCTCGCATATCTGTTGTGACCAATTACTTGCCTCTTACGCATCTTAATGGCACTCGAATGGACTATCTCATTGTCACTAAGATTATTGCAAGTCAATATCACACCTATTCTCATGGGTCTGCCTCCCTGTAAAGACTGCTGCAATTTCGGTTGCCATTTGAAAACGGATTTCATTCTCCCACCATGTTGTGTAGTCCCCTCACAACCTTTTTGAGAACTAGGATCGTAACTCCTCTTTCAAACTCTTCTTTTACCAAGACCTGAACGCAAATTTCTGCTAGCTATAGAAGACTCTGCAGAAGCTCCACCTGTTACTGTATTCCCTTGGAGAAGATATAAATTTTTCACCTTGGTGCCCTGTAGCACTACAAGAGAATCCATCACGACCATCATTACTCCACCTTCTGTTACAACCTTGTAACCTTTAGAGTCTAACACACCTACTGAAATAAGATTCATCTTCAGATCCGATACATGTCGCACATCTGACAATGTTCTCACTAACCCATTTTGCGTCTTGATCTTGACTGTTCCAATTCCCAAAATTTTGAAAGCTTTCTTGTCCGCCGTCAAAATCGAACCACCTTTCACTTCTTTATAAGAAGAGAAAGAATCCCTACTGGGACACATATGAACGGAGCAACCAGAATCAAGAATCCAACTGTTATTAAATGACGTACCTGAACACGAGGTTGTCATGAGAACATATTCGTTACTTTCTGAATCACTCGTTGTAGCAGTTGCCACAGAAGCTGTTTCTTAAACCTTTTCTTTGCCATTCCCATTCTTTGCCTTTAGTTTGGGACAATGCTTGATGATGTGCCCTATCTCGTGACAGTAGTAACATTCCACATTTTTATGAGATCTAAATTTGCCCCTACTAGCAGAACCCTTTGTCCCACCTTTGCCTCTTACAAATAAACCCTCGGCCTGTTCATCTCCAATATTCTCAGACACCTTTTTCCTCAACTTCTGAGAGTTCAATGAGGATTTAACATCCTCCATACTAATAGTGTCTTTTTCATAGAGCAATGTGGTAATAAAATGCTCATAGAAAGGAGGCAAAGAACACAACAAAATAAGGGCTTGATCCTCGTCATCAATTTTAATATCTGTATTTTTCAAATCCATAATAATATAATTGAAATTATCAATATGCTCCTTAAGAGGCATACCTTCCTTCATACTAAGGGTGTAGAGTCTCTGTTTCAGGTAAAGTCTGTTGGTGAGAGACTTCGTCATATACAGACTTTCCAATTTCAGCCACAACTTTGCCGCCGTGTCTTCATCAATAACTTCACGCAGCACCTCATCAGCTAGATTCAAAATAATCGCACTGCGTGCTTTTTCATCGACCTCTTCCTTGTCTTCATTGGACATAGTTGTTGGTAACTTGCCCTTCCCGAACAACACATTTTTTAGACCTTGCTGAGTCAGCAGGGCCTGCATCTTAATGCGCCAAAGACTGAAGCTAATCTTGCCATCAAATTTCTCAATCTCGTATCTGGTCGACATCTAAAAAAAACTCCCCAAAAAATTACTCGGTGAATAGTACAGTATTTGTGAACAGTACCCGACTAGTTTTTGTGAATAGTACCATATGTGTGAACAGTATCTGTACACAATACACGAACTCGAGCTCTGATACCAGTTTGTTATGAAAAAAGGATTGATTAGGAGTTTTGAGAACAAGAGAAAAAATTAATGACAAGAAAATTAAAAAAAAAAAGGCACACACACAAACGAGACAAGAATTTACGTGGTTCGGCTATGCCTACATCCACGGGGAGAAGACAGAACAATATTTCACTATGAAAATAAATAAATAAAAGGCAAAGTAGCTCACACCCAAAACCCAATTACACCCAAACTGTCTCACCTACTAACTTATATTACAAACTCACTCAATTGATTTGGGATGCTTCAACACCATGGAGGGCAAGGCTATTTATAACCAAAATGGAACACCAAAATGAGGCTACTTGGTGATCACTCAAAAGACTTGCTAGGCACACATTCTTAGAGGCCAAGAATAAAGCTTGATGAACACATATACTTGGAGGCCAAGAAGATGATGTCATGGATGATGTAAGCCTCAAATTGAGCCACATGTTCAACATATTTTGGTTTTGGTAACGTATTTACTGAGGAGTATAGCCATTTTTAGGGTTAGGAATAGGAATAGGGAGTGCTGAATAATTGAAATCTTGTAGGAGAAGAGAGTGGCATATTGGAGGAGTTTTGGGGATCGTATGCTGCATTGCCGCCGTTCTATACTAAAAACATGGTGCAATTATTCCATTCCGGCCGGATTTCACCATTCCACATGTGGTGGTGGTGGTGGTGGAGGTAGTTTGCTCTCTCCGGTCCAATCATCCGAGCATTTTCATCGTCTTGGAGAAAAAGCGGGGACCTTTTCGTTGATACAAAGTTTTTTCTTCTTCTGCTGTTGCTCAAGCAACAGCAGCAGCAAATGTAGTAGGAGTTAATGAAGAGGAGGCACGAGGACCCCTCCCTCTTCAATCAGCACCGTGCCTAATGCTACCTAGTGGCTCTGGTTTGGTTGCTCAAGGTGGCAAAAGGTTCAAACTTATAAAAATGGAGGAAGATGAGAGGGATTACTATCGGTTCTTTAGTATTAGGGAGAAGAAAGTGGTGAAGATGAAGGCCAATGTTATGCTTCCATGGCAAAGGGAATTACTTCCCCAGGATGAGGCCATCTGCTTCGGTTCGTCTCATGGCTGGCTCGCCTTTATCCACCCTCGTAATTGCTCTCTATACCTTTACCCTCCCTCCCATCCAAACCCTACCTTGTGTCATCTCGAGCGCTCGCTACAATTCCAATATTCACACCTCTTCTTCTTCTTCATCACCCATTGTTACTGAATTCAGCATTTGGGGTCAATTCTCACCCATATCATCCCAATATCTGAGTCAGAAACCTTTCTTTAAGAAGATTGTGTTATCCTCAACCCCGTCCCCATTCCCTGCCAATCATCATCATAATGAAAATAAAATCAATAATAATATTAATAATGGAAAGAAGAAGTATTCTTCTGACTCTACTGTGATGGTCATCCAAGGCTACAAGAAATGCAAACTCCCATTCTGCAGAATTAGGGACACCGCATGGACTGCCTTAGATGGTGCAGCGGTATCATACGTAGATGTCATATATTTCAGCAAGGACCAAAAATTCTATGCCTTGTCCACCTCTTATGAACTTATAGAAGCTTGGGATCTCCGCGACACTTCCTCTTCAAAGAACACTACCATCATTTCTCATTTGCCTCCTTGGGTACACCCCACAATGGGCCAACACCAACACTGGCTCAGACATCTTTGCATTCCCAATCACTATCTAGTAGAGTCTTCAGGGGAGTTGCTGATGGTTGTTAGGTACTTTGCTCACTCGTTTGATGATAATGGCAAACATGACTATTCCACTCCCAAGAACACCATTCTGTTTGACATGTATAAGTTAGATTTTGATAACAAGGAGTGGCTACTCTTGCCAAGTTTAGGCGACAGGGCATTGCTTATCGGTCTTAATGACTCTGTCTCTGTCTCTGCTCCTGATTTCCCTGGGTTGGCCAAGAATTGTATTCACTTCGCTAGTCATGCAAAAATCTCGCAACAGTCTCATGATTTGGGTGTCTTCAACTTGGAAGATAACAGCACAACTCCAATATATAAATATGACTTGAAGATTCAACTGTCTTCTCTCTGGGTTGTCTCAACTCAACAATGAACAAAATTGAAGCAACCCCTTGTTTTGTTTTGGTATGGTAGTTTGGACTTTAGACTTCAGAAAAATATATATTTATATATATATATGCATGATTGTTTTTATTTTTGTATACTTAAATTATATACTATATATTTTGCATAGTTCTCGGTATTCTTGCTTACCCTATCTATCGTTTTTCTGTTGGAGCCATACAGAATTGTTTCTTTAGAATGCAGTAATTACATTCTTATCTAGAAATATACCCTTATATATACTAGTATATTGTTAATGTTATTGATGTCATACTGCTTGGTGCAATGAATAGAAATTTTACACTGGGGTATGCATGACTGCACGTTGCAGTCAGTAATGTTTTTTCTGGTTTTTTTTTCATTGATATATATTAGCATCTATACAATTGTTGTAATTCTGGTGAAAAAAAGAATTTAGCAACTATTGACTCCTAATTATTCATTTGTTTTATTCCTATTTGTTGCTGTCAAAGTTAACTATTTGGGTTTTGGAATGGAAGATGGGTGGTAAAGGCATGAAGATTTGTTAGCTATGATTTTTTGGTCAGATGGTTTCAATTGTGTTATCCCACTAAAAATGGGTTTAGTTTTATTCTAAATTTTTGTTAGTATATACTTTTTCATACCCGTGTCATATTTTAGTTGGCTACATATTGGGCTCATTTTCAAGAAGCTAGACAATATATAAGCGAATGTGAAAATGTACAAGGGCTTTAAACTTGAAGGAATCAATGGTAGAAATCAACTGCAAGTAGTTTTTTGTTTTTTTTTTTTGACCACTCTTTGGAAAGTAAGAGCCTGATATCGTTAAGTCATCGGTATGTCGGTTTAAGTAATTTTTATTTATTTAAAATAGTTAGGTATTAATATGATTGCCTATTTTTATTTTTATTTTTTGAATATTAAAGCAAACACGCATTCACTATATTTTGCTCCAATAAGGATCGAACTCAACCTCCCCTTTAGAGTGAAAGCACATACCATCTAAGCTAGAGTCCAAGGCAATATTACCGGGTGCAAATCCACACACATTTCAGCAGACACAACAAAAGGCCAAACATGGGAATCTAAGCATATATATAGACAAAGCAATGTTCTAATTTCAGTAGAAACCATGTATCTTTATTACAACTATTTTATTTTTAGTTATCCATTTCATTTGTTATAGTAATGTTTCTTTCGTTTGTTTATAAAAAAAAAATTGCATACTGTGTTAAATGTTAAGTCTTATGCTTGAATATTAGGCCCTACAGCATTGACCTGAAAGTCATATACCTTTGAAAATATCCAGAGAAATTAAAGTGACTCCATAATAGTCCTCTCCAAAAAAATGTCCATCCAAGAAACAAACACATAAACAATCAAACTCAAATCACCTATTTAGACTCTCTTCCCAACTCCAACCATCATCATCAGTCTTTCCATTCTAATCATCCCTAGTTCTTTTCAGTCTTCAACTTCTACGATCTCTAGTACTTATTCACAAAGCAATAGAAATCTGAAAATGAGAAGCAGAGGACACAAACAGAGCAAATTGAAACAATACATTGGCGCACCTACCAGATTTCTAAGCAAGGCTAGAGACTTTTACGTCGAGAGCATGGTGAGTTTGGATGGGAAGGTAGGCTATGGCAATGTCGTGGGCTGTTCAGCTCCGCAAATGCCCAACTTACCCAACAGTCTATTGAGAAAGAGAAATGATGATGATGATATTAGGGAGCTTTTCCGAACGGTATCTATGTCGAAGGTGGAGTTGGACAGCCATCGGCAACCAGGACGGAGACAGCCGGTGGTGGGTCCGAATGGCATAGGGAGGAGTTACAGCGTTGGGTTAGGAAAGATTGGAACAATTGATGAAGACAAGCCCTGTGATTTTGGGGAAGAAGAGTTTATAATGAAGAGTGATTTCATGTTTGCAAGAAGCAGGAGTTATGCTGTTACAAAGAAGAATGTTGGATATTATTAAAACAAGATTACCAGTACAACTGGGGGGACACGTGGCAAAAATCATTTGGATATTTCCTTCTTCTGTATGTTATTCTTTTATTAAGCTATAAATGCCTTTTGTGATCAATTCTATGTACTCGATGTAAATTAGCCAAAAAAAAAATGTAAGATCAAACAAGTTCAGAGATAGTTCTGAAAATCCACTTTGTGTTTTTTTTTATTTTTTATTTTTTTTTTATTTTTATTTTTTTTTATTATCCTGAATAAATCCACTTTTTGTGTTGGCATCATATTTTTCAAGTTTGTCTATATAATGACAAGCAGTAAATCATGGATCAGTTAAACATAACGAAGAAGCAATAAATATGGCTTTTAAGCGCGCACACATGCTATATATAAAACTTGACGAATGCGGCTAGGCTTAAAAAAAATCTAAAAAAGTACCATCTTCACTCTTGAAAAAGCAGAGTTGAAATAAAAAATTGTGGGAATATTTATTTGGATGGGTTAATACTACTTATATCAATTTTTTATTTTTAATTTTTTTGTTTCTTTCTTTCTTCCTTCGTGAGTTCAGGTCCACCCCGGATCCGCCAGTGCCACAACTACTCCGGCTTAAGACCAGCGTTTTTCACGGGAATGGGAATATAGCTTGCGCGAGGAATGGATGTGTACAAGGCACTTCAATTTTCACAAACATTTGTAACACAAAATGAGTAATCATTTTGGACAAATACACATGGAGATTGAGTCGATTGAACCATCTGTGTTGCAATTTCTTCCACTTCTCGGGATGATATATGCGCTTTGAAACGCTTTTATATTATATATATTTATGAGAAGGCAATTATATGCGCTTTGAAATGCTTTAAAACGCTTTTATATTTCCAACAATTTATCCATTAAAATATGAGAAGGCAATTAAAGCTGGCTTACTAAACAGAACAAGAAAACAAATTATGTCAATACAATACATAAGGAGAATTTCAACTAATATTCTTGCCAAATTACACAATAAAAATTCGACTGTCATGTCCAAATAACACTGATACTATCTTAACCGGTATTTAACATTAATATGGCAAAAAAAAAGTAACGTGTTACAATAAGGTTGGAATGAAACTTTATTTAAGAAAAGGTTTATGAATTCATTTTGAAAAATAATAATAATAATAATAATAATCTAAAAGGTAAAAGACACATTTTAATGCTTGCATTTATTTATTGGATAAATAAAGCGTAAATTGAAAGGAAAAAAATAATTACAGGGGCAAACCCCAGGCTGCATGATGGGCCATGTGCCCATATGCCAAAAATCAAAATCAAAAGCCCGAAATAAAGAGAGTACAGATCCATATTGCCCAAAAGAAAATTGGCCCAAAGTGGGAAACCAGTAAACATGCCATGAATTGGGGTTTGCATAAAACCCACATTTTTGTTGCATTCCATTCTAGATGACCCTTGAGTATGAACCCTGATTAAAGATGTGTTCACGACTCTCGGCAGCTCTTAAACACAATGTACACACATTAAGTCCATCGAAGGTTTTTCCAAAGTTGATAATCCTACCTGAATTGCAAATCCAGAGGCAAACGAAGAATGTTTTGGTACTTGTACCAATATTTGTTAGGAATGGGTTGGGAAATGACTGTGATGGTGTGTTTGAGAGAGTTTTTTTTTTTTTTTTTTTTTTTGTTGTTGGTGAGGTGTCCATTGTAGTATGAGGTCTTTGGTTAACTTCTTAGACGAACAAACCAACGTCTGCTACAAAGAGCAATTGTTATAATGTGTTTTGATACATACATCTTAAATATCTCAATTGAAAAAGTACTCTTGAGAAAAACAAAGTGCTTATAAATAATATCAAAAACTACTACTGAACGTATTAAACACCTCTAACACGCAAATTCTACAATTAACTTCTATGATTAAAGAGCTCACAATCCACAAGTATATAAACAAGGTCTAATGTGCCATTATCACAAGACTCTACTCCAACCAACTAAAATTTTACCCTTGCGGCTCGCCATCTTCAGTAGCTGCAACAGAAGAAAACCTAGAAGCCACAACTCCAGAAGAAGCAGTATTTCCTGTCATTAACAAACACAATTTTTTTTTTAACACAATGTTAGATATGTTGGAAAAAATAGTTCCACAAAAAACTATATATACAACAAGATAAAGAAAACTTTGGCAGTGTTAAATAAATCAAGTGATACATACTTTGATAGATGCGGCGCACAAGAGAATCCAATTTCTACATCAAAATAATAAAAAATTTATTGAAGTTATAAAAAAAATTATTGAAATTCTAAACAAACAGGAGCTTAAAACAAGTGTAAAAATACTTGATATAAAATTTGGGTGTTGAACAATGCAAAACAAGAAACAATGTTAGACATAGAACAGAACTACTACACTGAATAGTACCAAAAGGTAAAAACAAATGAATTCCTTGGTATAGAAAGTTTAATGGCTGATACAAATATGTGTGTGTGTGTGTGTGCGCACGCAAATGGACATGGTGTTTATACCTCATCCTCTGGCCGGAAATACGGAGTTGCACCGCCCTTACGCATTATCGTGAACTCAGCTAAGCAATTTGGATTTGTGCAATCATGTTCCATTTTGGTCCAAGTTAAACCTATACATCTCCCATTCTGTGCCTGTTATATCCAAAACCAAATTAATTAATTAATTAATATACATATAGAGAGAGAGAAAGGGGGACGATAAATAAAATGATCTAATGAATCTTGTCTATAACGAACGTACTACGATTGATTTATCTAGTATGGTGGAAATCATTGACTGTTTGGGCATGCGGTTGCCACAAGAGTTGCACATGATACTCATCGGAAGTTTGCCGAACAATAGCTGATTGGACCAAGACTTTCCCTAGGTCGATGGGGAGGAAGTGGCCGTCGCGGTTCCAACAACCTGCTGATCTGATCGGAAGCGGAGACTGCCATTAGATTTTCCCCTTGGCTCGCTTCGTATTTTTTCCTTACTCCATCAAAACCCTAATCCCTATATATATATATATATATATATATATATATATATATATATTGTAATCCCTAGTATATTTACCTTGGTCGGTGGATGCTATATTTGACCCCAAGCTTTTCTGCCCAATGTTTAGAATTCTCACTAAGACATCTGATCTTCATCACCCCAATACCATACTAAAATAAATAAATTTCACCAACGCTACCTGAGATTTGGCAATATTTTACTTATACTCTATCAATATTTCATAATTTTACCAACCTCCATAAGATTTGAGTTTACTTAGCAAATTGCCCCTTGTCATTGAGCAACTAACAGTTTGCCTGATGTCAGCAGGAAAATATTGGTAGAATTACAAAACTACCCAACTTTTTAAGTTAAAAGTACAATAATATACTTTGCATTTTTTAAGATCATCTTGATTTAATTATCTGTAGTTTGTAATTTGTATCATGGTGTGTGAATTGTGATGTTCAAAAAAACTATAATTCTACACAAGGCAAAGTGAGAAAAATATCTCTAATATTTACATTATGAAAGAATAATACCCCTATCATTTATGTTGTGTATATAAAGTATGTTAAGTTCGAAAAAAAAATGAACAAAGAAGGGTTTGAGGTCACTGCTTTGTTAAAAATTTTGTCATGTATTGTAATACTCCTAATTTTTTGAGTATTTATTTTATTTCATTAAATTGTTCTATTTGAATTAATTGTTTAATTATGCTCGATTATATGATTTAATTATTAATTGTTATTTTTATTAGATGATTTAGTTGTTATTTAATCGTTTGTAATTAAATTAATTGATTATCTATTAGTTGATATTTGGTTAATTGTATTATTTGTCATTACTTGTAATTTAGTTGTATTGTGTGTTGTTTTATTTTATTTTTAGTTTAATTAGTAGAACCAAAGGTATAGGTTTGAGCTAATTGGAAAAGGCCTAAATAAGTTATGTACACTTATGGCCCATGGGAAGGTATATATATATATATATATATATATATAGGTGGATATATATACATATGTGTAAGTATCATATTTGTATTTTACTTGGGAAAGATATACGTGTAGGTGTTTATAATTACTATTATTATTTTAGTTGGACTTAGGTTATGATTTATGGGTTGGTATATCAATTATTTGTCCCATATGTTTATTGTTGGAGGAAAAAGGGTTTGTGTTTTTAGATGAGTTGCAAAGAAAGATTTGGCTATAAAGAAGAGAGAAATAGAAGAAGAAGGTGACCGGAACAAAGAGAATTGGCCGGACATTCCTTGAAGGTTACCGAAATTTGGAGAAGAAGACTGGAGAATTTATAGAGAATTTGAAAATCATAAGGCAAGTTCCTTATCTATCTCTTCCTCTTTGAATCCGAAATCTCCCCATCACATGCTAGACTTTAGGTCTTAAATCAGAGAATTAAATGGGACAAGTAATTGATATGCACGAATTGAATTGAATGATTTTATGTATGTATTTGTTCTTCAACTTGATGGGTTCTTTGATTTAATGCATAAAACTTGTTTTTAATTGTTGGAACTTATGTGTTTTCATTGTTTATATCTTAAGTTCCAAGCTTCAACCTTAGATTTAGTCTATTTTTAATGGGATTTGACCAAGACTGTAGAAGGAAATGTTGATCTACAAGTCAATAGCATCATTTTGGTACCAAACTTGAAGGAATTTGGACATTTTCGAATTTGTGGAAGCTAGGATTTTGATCTCCATTTGAGGTATGGGTGTCTAACCCACTTCTCTTTGTTTCTTATTGAGTATTATTGGTTTAAATGCATGTACAAGTATGTTTAAATTGAAGATTTTCATGTGTTTGTTCTAGGTTAAATAGTGCAGTTATGAATGCCATGACCCGTGCTTGTTAAGTTGTGAGTTTTGGTGCTTAGAAGTTTATTTGCTTCATTATGTGATTATATGCCAAACTTGCGATGCAACTATGATCATTGTATTCATATATGAAGAAATATATGCTCTAGTTGCTAGCTTT